TACTACTTAATTTTGTTGCTCAAATTGTTCCAGCTTTGGCCTTTGGGGGCTCTTTTAGTTAACTCCTGTGTCCCTTTGACATATCCCGCGTCTTTGTGTGTCTGTCCTTCATACTGTTGTTGTTTTGGGGCACTTATCTTCGCCCCAGGCTTATCTTGCATATTTCCCCGCCCCAGTCCTAGAATCAGCTGTTTCTCAAAAGGCCCGATTCCTCCCATTGGAGAATGATATTAGAAACCAAGACTGGGACGCTAAGGGTGCTCATTGCTACTGAAGTGTCATTTCTTTGAAGCCTTTTCAACTAACAGAACAAAGAAGTATATGTGTATATGCTAACTTGTGTGTGTACACACATCTATAAATATTTCTGCATGTAACCATCTGTATCTGTAGTAAGCTAAACATGAGTTCCTATTTCTATTTCCAATTCTAATCCGGTACCACGAGTCGTTATAGCCTCCTCTCCTTGCCTACCTGCACATTCCCACTCCAACAATGAGAGACCTGGCTCCCACTCTCCAGCATCCATTTACCTAATTGTTCATTTCCAGTATATATATACAGCAGTATCAGCATTGCTAACCCATAGCCCTGTGGGAACCTTTATCAACTAGAGGACAGTACTTCGTTACTCTTTAGTTTTACAGGAGCCACTCATTTCTAAAGTTACTTAAGTCGGCACCCTATCCCCACCCTCTTCAGTGGGGTTGCTTCATACATTTCTTTTTTTTTTTTTTTTACGTTTATTTATTTTTGAGACAGAGAGAGACACAGCATGAACGGGGGAGGGGCAGAGAGAGAGGGAGACACAGAATCGGAAGCAGGCTCCAGGCTCTGAGCCGTCAGCCCAGAGCCCGACGCGGGGCTCGAACTCGCGGACCGCGAGATCGTGACCTGAGCCGAAGTCGGGCGCTTAACCGACTGAGCCACCCAGGCGCCCCGCTTCATACGTTTCTAATACAATTCGACTATTTTGTCGAATTCTTCATTCCATCTTGAGATTCTCCAGATGTTTAAAATGATTTTTTAATATTCTCATGCATTAGGATTTAAGTCTTCTGTGCTTCACCTAGTCAACCTTCTCTCCCTCAAACCCCGACAACCATAGATCTTTTTACTATCTTTATAGTTTTGCCTTTTGTATCTTTTTGTTGCTTTTGTTATAGCTACCATTTACTGAGCCTTTTATCACGTCCCATGTCCTAACCTATGATACTCTCCCATTTTGCAGATGAGAAAATCGAAACAAAGGAGTTGAAATAACATCCCAAAGATTAATAATATTGAACAAATGTTCATTTCAAACCCTGGACACTTTGATTGTTTAAAACCCCAGGATCTGCCTGCTTGACTTCTAACTCATCGAAGGGGAGTCCCCGACATTTAGCCAATGAGATGAGGATAACCTGCTTCCCAGTTTACCCAGTTTATTTCTCTTGTTCCAGCATAATTATTAACAGTGTCCCTTTCATCAGAAATAATATGGTCACCCCCAAAAGAAAAAGTCTGATGAATTTCAGAGTCAGGTTGTGGGGGTAAAGATTATACTCCAGGAGATGTGGGGATTTACCAGTGGTGTGTGATTTCAGAGTCACCAGGTGGGACCCACTACCCAGATAAAATCCCCTCCCCATTCAGTCACCTTCCCTTCCTTCTCCAATATGATTATTCCCCATTCCATCAGTCATGCTGGTGCTGTTAAAATGACTCTCCTGCTGTCCTCTTCTCTCCGTAAACCTGTCCCCAGTTCTGGTCTCTCCTTTCTGCCTTGTGTTTTTCTGAATCTCACACTCCATGGATTGACCATCCAGTATTCCAGCAGGATTTTTAAAACTTGGGAATTTCACAGAGAAGTTTAAAAAAACAAAAATAAAACAAAACCTAAACAAAACCAAACCAAACCAAACTCAAAACACACATTTTAAAATTGGGGGATAGGCAAAAGATGGCCCACTTTTAATTTTGCTAAAATGGGAAAAACTGGGTCCCCTGGGTGGCTCAGTTGGTTAAGTGTCCAGCTCTTGATTTCAGCTCAAGTCACGAGGTCACCGTTCCTGAGATCAAACCCCGCATCGGGCTCTCCACTGTCAGCACGGAGCTGGCTTTGGACCCTCGGTCTCCCTCTCTCCGCCCCTCCCCCGCTCACGCTCTCGCTCAAAAATAAACATTTAAAATAAATAATCAAATAAATAAAATAAAATGAGAAAAACCTCCACCTTCTATATTAGTCTTATCTATTGGAAATACAATGCAAGCCTTAAGTGTAATTTAAAATTTTCCAAGGGCGCCTGGGTGGCTCAGTTGGCTAAGCAACCAACTTTAGCTCAGGTCATGATCTCACAGTTTGTGGGTTCGACCCCACATCAGACTCTGTGCTGACAGCTCACAGCCTGGAGCCTGCCTTAGATTCTGTGTCTCCGTCTCTCTCTGCCCCTCCCCTGCTTGTGCTCTGTCTCTCTTTTTCTCTCAAAAATAAATAAACATTTTTTTTTAATTTTCCAGAAGCCACATTTAAAAAAGGTTAAAAAAAGGAGGTTCCTGAGTGGCTCAGTGGGTTGAGTGTCAGACTCTTGATTTTGACTCTGGTTATGACCTCACAGTCGTGATACTGAGCCCCTGACCTGGGTGTGGAACCTGCTTAAGATTCTCTCTCTCCCTATTCCTTTTCCCCTCTCCCCTACTTGCATTCTCTCAAAAAAAAAATTAAAAATTTAATTAATTAAAAATAAATGAATACATAAATAAATAAAATGGTAAAAAAAGGTGAAATTAATCTTAACGTATTTTATTTAATTAATACATACAAAATATTATAATCTCAACACAAAATCAAGAGAAAAATGTTAATGCAATATTTTACATTTTTTATGCGGTCTTTGAAAACCAGTGAAAATTTTGCACTATAGCACATTTTGATTTGCACTAGCCATTTTTTTTTAATGTTTTACTTATTCTTGAGACAGAGAGAGACAAAGCATGAGCAGGGAAGGAGCAGAGAGAGAAGGAGACACAGAAACCGAAGCAGGCTCCAGGCTCTGAGCTGTCAGCACAGAGCCCGACACGGGGCTCGAACTCACAAACCGTGAGATCATGACCTGAGCCGAAGCCAGACACTTAACTGACTGAGCCACCCAGGTGCCCCTGCACCAGCCATTTTCAAGTGATCAAGAGCCCCATGTGCAGTTCTATACTATATTTTGGTAAAAGAAAGAGACATGGCACACACACAAACACACACACACACGCTCACACCATCATAATCTCTGAATTAAAAAAAAAAATTTTTGTTTTACATTTATTTATTTTTGAGAGACAGAGCACAAGTGGGGGAGGGGCAGAGAGAGAAGGAGACACAGAATCCGAAGCAGGCTCCAGGCTCTGAGCTGTCAGCACAGAGCCCGATGTGGTGCTCAAACTTACAAACCCACAAGCCGTGAGATCATGACCTGAGCCGAAGTCAGACGCTTAACCGACTGAGTCACCCAGGCATGCCTTTAATCTCTGAATTTTTAAAGAAGACAGTCAGGTAAATCAAAAAGCGAATTACCTTGTTCTTACTGTCCTCCCTCTTCGTTAGGAACATCCTTGATGATCATGCCGGTTCACACACTGATGTTTTGGAGAAAGATAGAGTTGGGGTGCGTGGAGTTGCATGATGGTGTCTGGGTTGGCTCCTTCCTCCCTTATTTGAACAGATATTCAGTCTCTGTTCTGTCAAGATCTGCTAGGTGCTGGGGGCACAATGGTGCGAGTGGAAATTCCGCGGGTCTTCTGATCTCATGGAGCTTCTGCTCTGCCGTAGAGTTCCAAGTGGGGCTGTGCAGGCAACGAGAGGGTGTGTCGTCTGCAGAGAATTTAAAAACAATAATAAAACGGATTGAAAGTCAGCCTGCCTTTTATTATCTCCTCCATGGGCCCACCCTTCTAAACCTTGTCAGTGGTAAAATACTCCTCCCCGAAGATCAATTTGTTGGTCTAACTTGAGTCTTAATAATATATCTGTAAGCTTCAAATCAGCCTACTTTAATTACTTGTGCACTAATAAACATTATATTCTACAAGGAAGTTAATTCAGAGCACTATCCGTTCAGTCGGCCCCTAACACATGCCGAGTCAGATGCAGCTACACATGTTAGTTTTGAAAACAAGCTCGTAACAGTACAGAATTATTCCAGCTAGCTTCCTGAGCACTTGTGTCTGCAGCCCCTTTGGTACAACGTATGTCTCTGTTTAAACAATAGATTCAAAATAAACAATGATAGCACAGTGATTATGAAGCTTGAGCTGCTTCAATTCTGTCATCCTATGTGACCACTTGAAGCTTTTGTATTTAAGCTGAAACAGGAAACAAAGAGTGAATCGCTGTGTGGTAACTGCAGATTTTATTATTTAGTAAAATTATATTATTACGCTATATTACACTACATTACATTATAATTTTCATTTGGTAAAATTATGTGGGTTTTTTTGGTGGCATTTTTTTGAGTAGGCTCCTTGCCCAACGTGGGGCTTAAACTCACAACCGTGAGATCAAGAGTCTCACGCTCTGCTGACTGAGCCAGCCAGGTGCCCCTGGTAAAATTATGTTTTACCAAACTTGAATAATATATTTAGTCTTAAAATTGAATCTTTAAAAAAAAGTTTTTTTTTTTTAAGTAGGCTCCATGCCCAATATGGAGCCCAACACAGGGCTTGAACTCACGACCCTGAGATCAAGACCTGAGCTGAGATCAAGAGTCGGATGCCTAACTGACTGAGCCACCCAGGTGCCCCTGATTGTTATTTTTAAAGCATTTTCGTGTTTTTAAACTGTAACGTAACGTAATCATTATTGCAATAGACGACTATGTAGGTGTGTTCTTTATTTTCTTTTATTTTTCAAAGAAATATATTAATGTAACTGAAAACTATTGATTCAATACTCTTTTCCCTTTTTTGTATTGTCACGTTTATTTTTGCTGACATGCTTACATATAAAAAGTTCAAAGAATATTTTCACCATCTACATTTCTTTTCTGGCCATTATCATTAATATTATTTATTATATTTTATAACTGTTGTTGAAAATACTGCCATTTAGAGGATACAGGTGTTAAAAAGTTCTCTATCCCAAGTGTCACATGGGCCAGGTAGGCCACTGGTGCACTGAAGGCAAGGGACATGGGGCTAGGAGGGCTACAAGGAGGGAGACAGAGGTAGGAGTGCTGGAAGGGTGAGGGAACGGACTTCTCAACACCCTGTGTGGGGAGGCAGCCCAGCTTGTTCCACAAAGGGAGGAGGGCCAGTGTGGCTGGAAACTGGCTCAGGACAAAGAAAGTAAGAGAGGAGGTCAAATTGGTGAGGAGGGGTCAGACCAAGCCTGCTGGGCCAATAAAAGCCTGGTGTTCATCTTGAGAGTAATGAAGAAACCAATGAAGGTTTTTAAAAAGGGAAGATACACAATCAGATTTGTGAGTAAAACATACCATTGCTCTGGCTTCAGGAAAGAGAATGAAATGGAAGGAGACCTGGTGGGTGCAGGGACCAGTAAGGAGGCTGGACAGGTGCCCGATGAGAGGTGATGGTGGCCTGGACCATTGGGTAGTGGTGGTCAGCATCTCTCCAAGAAACTCACTGTCTTCCTACTGCAGTCTACACTGAACAGCTCAGTGGTGAGCCCAGCCTTGAACACCCGTGACCTACAAGATTTAGACTCTGGGGCACCCATTAGAAAGGACTCAAGGTAGTCTGTATGCACTGATAACCGCTGCATCTCAGCAGCGGATCTGAGTTTTAGGTTTTCTTTTTCAAAATTTTACTTTTTCTTCTCTGGGCTCCTGTAGGAATTTGAGTGTACTCTTGATAGAACACTGACTTTGATTCACTCAATAAATATTTAATCAGTACTTATGATGTGCTAGGCACCCTCCTAGGGATAGAGCCATAAAACAAAACAGACAAAAATCTCTGCCCTCGTGGATCTTACATTTTAGTGGAGGGAAGATGGGCAAAAACCGAGTGAACAAATAAAATAATTCCAGAAGGTGGTAAGTGCCATAGAGCAAACGGAAATCATGATGAGAGAGAATAATGCAAGCAAACATTAAGATGCTTGATAATACCAAACTTTGGACAAGATGTGGATGAAAAGAATCTCTTCTCTGCTCCTAGTGAAAAAGTAAATTGGTGCAAGTTGGCAGTTTTACAACATTACCTTGTAAAAGTTAGCATTCACACGTCCTCAGATGTAGCCATCACACTTTCCATGATATATACTCTGGAGACCCTGCACTTGAACTCCAGGGACACATCTAGGATTGTTAACAGTAACACTCCTTATAAGAGCAAAAACCTGGCAATAATCCAACTGTCCATGGACAGGACAACAGATAGGAAAATTGTAGCGTATCCCCACAGTGGAAAATGAACCAACCCCATATGGGTGCAATACTTTAGGTGAACCTTAGCACTATAATACTGAATGAGAAAGTAAATACCAGGATATATAACAGCATGATACCTTTTTGACAAAGCTAGAGGCAAGAGGATACATTTTTAAGAGCCGTATTTTCAAAAGTAAGAGCAAGGAGACATTGCATCCCTCACACATGATGGTAGGAATATAAAATGGTGCAGCAAATCCATTGAGACAGAGGTGGAGAGATGGAAAACAAGCACAGAATTTCCTTGGGGGTTGATGAAAATATTCTAAAATTGATTGCAGTGCACTTGCACACTTTTTTTTTTTTTTAATGTTTCTTTGAGAGACAGCATGAGCACGGGGTGGGCAGAGAGAGAGAAAGAGAGAGAGAGAGAGAGAGAGAGAGAGAGAGAGGGAAGCGGGCTCCGTGCTGTCAGTGCAGCGTCCTACCCAGGGCTGGACCTCAGGAACCAGGAGGTCAGGACCTGAGCCAAAATCAAGTCAGTAGCTTAACTGACTGTACCCCCCCCCCCAAGTGCCCGGATGCCCTTTTTGAAATAAACCCATCCCCACCTCGCCAATTTTAAAAAATTATGTTGGTGTCTCTACGTTGTTGGTGCCCAGAGTCCCAGATAACTAATATTTATTGAGCATTTACTAGGTGTCAGATTTGTTCACAGCCAGTATCCCCATTTAACTTGTAAAACAACCATATGAGGGAGAAATGGTTTTTTCCCCCATTTCAAGGACAAGGAGGAGGAATCGGGATACGAATACTGTAATTCTGACTCCATGGAGGATGGAACAGGCCAGGCTCCAGTTCTGAAGGTTCAAACTCAGGGAAGCTCCGAATCTCAGCGTCCAGTAAATCCCAGGAAGGACCATTTGGTCGGGAGCGCGGCCTTGTCCTTCCGAGCGCCTTGTGCCTTTAAGAATCGCCCCCTCCCGCCGGCCACACGCTCCCATTTCCCTCCCGGGCACCCAGAGCATCACCCCGCCCCCCGCGTCTGCGGAGCCGCACCTCAGTCCTTCCTCCCTGCTCTACAGCCTCCAACTGGGCTCTCTGCCCCAACCCGCCCAGTGGTGGGTGAGGTCTGTCGCTGGGCTCTCCACTCTCCGCCCCGGACAGTGCCCACTACGCCCCAGCAGAAAGACACTTTAGAGGACCTCGTCCCGACCCCTCCCAGCTCCTAGTCCTGAGGGGCGAGGCCTACGCACCCCCTCCCATCGCCCAGGCCCACGGCGCCGTGAAGGTGACCTCCCCCGGGGGCAGCACAGGGCCCGCGGTTCCCGAGCCGGCTCACACGTGGTGAACTGGGAGCGCGCAGCCCCTCCCCGCCACGCGCCTAGAGCATGCGTCGCGGACACGCCCCTCGCGCTGGCTCCGCCCCCGTGCCCGCGCACGCTTCTCCAGACCCAGGAGGGGCGTCGCGCCCTTGTCCGCACCCGGCGGGTGGCTGTGTAGGTTGGGCCCTGGGGATGGGACACTCACGCATCCTCGAACCTCGCCTGAGGACTGTGAAAAATCAGTTAGTCAGCCCTGCTCAGGACCCTTGGCTGGTAGGCGAGATGATCCAGCGACTCGCCCCAGCGAGATGCGCTGAGCTGGGAAGAGAGGGAGGGACTGCGAGCCTAGGATTCGAGCCTTACTAGTCTGTGTGTCTTTCTTGTTCTGAATCCGGAAAATAGGCGTCCTATTCCTTTCTTTCTCAGGACTCTTGTGGGGCTTCAAACGAGGTTTAAAATAATATGAAAGCGCTTCGTTCATTGAGTTCAAAGCATTTGTCGAGCCTCTGTGTGGCTGGACCCTATGTGTAGTAGGCAGGGGCTACATCTCTGAAACGATGAGACTGTACTCTTGAGCTTTCCCGAGCCTGAGTGCCCCCACATTCTGTCCTGGGACTGTGCAGAAAGACGCTCCTGAAAGAGGAGGGGGCGGATGTCCCACCTGGCGGCAGGTGTCACAGAATAAGCTAAAATTTCAAAGGCAACGTGGGGCGGGAGCTTTCGGAGGCAGATGGGAAGCACGCTCCGCGTTCCCCCACCCTCCTCCCAGTCCCCAGCCTAAGAAAAGAAACCAACCTCATCCGACACCCTCCAACCCAGCGAGACCGCCCAGCCCCGCAGCCCGAGCTCCGCCCCGCCCCGGCAGCCAGCGATTGGGAGATGCAAATACCAGCTTCTCTGCCCAGCAACGGGTGACGCGCCGCCTGAGCGCGAGGCGTGGCCCGGCCGCAGCCCAAGCGGGCACCTCGGTGTTTACACGGGGCGGCCCCGCGCGCGCCGCAGCGGCCCGCAGACGGCGAGGGGGAGGGGTGGCGCGCGCGCCGGCGGGGCCGCGCGGGGAGAAAGACACTGGAAGGCGGCGGGGCGGGGAGCGGCGCGCGCGGGCCGCGGCGGAGCAGGAGACTGAGAGGAGAGCCCGCGGGGGCCGGAGGGTGCGATTCCTCCGCCCCCGCAAAACAATGTGCAGCGTGCGGCTGGGCGCAACTTGCCGGAGGCGGCGGGGGCGCGCCGAGCCCGCCTGAGACCGCGCCGCTGACCTTCTCCCCCCGCCGTCCGTTGGGCCCGAGCGCCCAGCTCCTCGCTCCCCAGCTCGCGGGGGCCGGGCCGAGCTGCGGGGCGGGGCCGCCCCTCCGTCGCTGCTGCCTCCTCCCCCACCCCCAGCCGCGGAGGATGCGGACGGCCCCCGGCGGCGTCTAGCGGCCCCGGGCCCAGGCGCGATGGTGCAGCAGCGGGGCGCGAGGGCCAAGCGGGACGGCGGGCCGCCGCCCCCGGGGCCCGGGCCGGCCGAGGAGGGGGCGCGTGAGCCCGGCTGGTGCAAGACGCCGAGCGGCCACATTAAGAGACCGATGAACGCGTTCATGGTGTGGTCGCAGCACGAGCGGCGGAAGATCATGGACCAGTGGCCCGACATGCACAACGCCGAGATCTCCAAGCGCCTGGGCCGCCGCTGGCAGCTGCTGCAGGACTCGGAGAAGATCCCGTTTGTGCGGGAGGCGGAGCGGCTGCGCCTCAAGCACATGGCGGATTACCCGGACTACAAGTACCGGCCGCGCAAAAAGAGCAAGGGGGCGCCCGCCAAGGCGCGGCCCCGCCCCCCCGGCGGCGGTGGTGGCGGCAGCCGGCTCAAGCCCGGGCCGCAGCTGCCTGGCCGCGGGGGCCGCCGAGCAGCGGGCGGGCCTTTGGGGGGCAGCGCGGCGGCGCCCGAGGACGACGACGAGGACGACGACGAGGAGCTGCTGGAAGTGCGCCTGGTCGAGACCCCAGGGAGGGAGCTGTGGAGGATGGTCCCAGCGGGGCGGGCTGCCCGGGGACCCGCGGAGCGCGCCCAAGGGCCGTCGGGCGAGGGAGCGGCTGTCACCGCCGCCTCCCCCACCCCGTCGGAGGACGAGGAGCCAGAGGAAGAGGAGGAGGAGGCGGCGGCGGTGGAGGAAGGCGAAGAGGAGACGGTGGCGTCGGGGGAGGAGCCGCTGGGCTTTCTGTCCAGACTGCCCCCCGGCCCCGCCGGCCTGGACTGCAGCGCCCTGGACCGCGACCCGGACCTGCCGCCCCCCTCGGGCACGTCGCATTTCGAGTTCCCGGACTACTGCACCCCCGAAGTTACCGAGATGATCGCGGGGGACTGGCGCCCGTCTAGCATCGCCGACCTGGTTTTCACCTACTGAGCCCACCGTCAGCGGGGCGCGCACGCCCCCAAACCAGCTGTTTACATACAGGAATCAGGTATTGGGGCCCCTCGGAGGCCGAGGCTGGCACCCCATCTCCCGCGCAGCCTCCCCCCTCCCAGACGTGCCCATCCCCCTCAAACCCAGACATGCCCCTCCCCCGCAGACACACCCCAAGGCAGCCCAACCCCCACTCTTTCCCTGACATCCAAGCCCCGCCCCGTCTTGCCCCCTCCCGCACAGCCACCAGCAGCCAGCCCCCCTCCGTTACACCTCCCGTCCCCTCCTACAGACCTGCACCCCTCCCCCCACCTCGCACACGCCCCTCCTCGTGGCCGGAGGACACGCCCCTGCCCTTGCTCCCGATCCCTCCGCCTTCGCCCAGCCCGCCTCCTCTCTGGTTTAGGGGGGCGCTGCGGCTGGGCGGCACCGCGCGCTCCTCCCAAACCCCTTCGCTCCCCTCCCCCGAGCGCTGGGGCCCGCCCCCTTCTCGCGCATGCTTAATGCTTCTTAGGAGGAGGGGGCCGGTCCCAGTTGAACCGCAAGCCTCTGTGGCCCGCTCCGGGAAGAAGTGGGGCGGGCATTGAGCGATCCTTAGAAATCTTTTGATCCGGGAGCCGCGGCTTCCTTTCAACCCGACGGGGCGTCTCTGCCTTAATGGGAGGAGCACTAGGAAGGGGGAGAAAGAGACTAGCTGGCCCGGAAGGGTTGGGTTTGGCGCTTGGAACTCTCCCTAAGTGGCATAACCCCTTTTCCTTGCGGGGTTACCCAGACTGACGTGCACCCTCCCGCCTGCTATACACACACCGCTAGACTGCCTCCACAGTCTACTTTGGCACCCAGAAACTTGCCTTTTCTTTCCCCCATCCGGGAATTGGGAATAGGGTCTTCATCTGGAACTGCACCACGAGAGGACCGCCCAAGAAAGCTCTGAACCAAGGCAATTATCAGTCTATCTGGGGACAAGGGCCTTGCTGCTCTCCACCCCCATCCCAAGTGCCCCATCACGTTAAGGCACACTCCCAGCCTGGACTCCTCCCTTAAGCCCACCGCCCGTTTCTATCACTCAAGTCCTGTGCCCACAGTGACCGTATTCGGTGGGAGAAGCTGAGGCACGTTGGTACGGGGGCGGGGGTGTTGAGACTGAGGCATGAGAGCAGACGGAGTGACAAGAAGAGACCCACTTTTGAACAGCTGGCTTGAGACCATCGACTGGGCCAGTGACACCGAAGGGAGGGGCAGAGTAGTGGAGGTGTGCCGTTTGCGCCTGTTTTTCCGTGTGAAAAATCTGGATAGCGCTGCTGTCGGAGGAGGTTGTGTCCGGTTCGAGGTGCCCTCGGGGACCCCTGCCCCAAATTCCCCCTCTTACTCCCCAACTCTCCGCTCAAGTCCCGCCCCTCCGGCCTCCCCATACCCCCTTTTGCCCTCACTACCTGTATCTCACCGGCGTGTGTTCACCCTCCCGGGTGAGCACACACTCTCATTCACACACACAAATCTCAGGAACAAACGGTCCCAGAGTCCTCCTGGACCCCTGCCCAGGGTCTCTGCAGGTCTCTGCCCCACGCGTTCCCGTCGCTGACAAAGCCACCAGCTGCCTCCTTTAAGCTTGGTGCTCCGGCTCTGGGCCTTTCTCGCGCTCTCTCTCTCTGTCTGTCTTTCTCTTTCTCTCTTTCTCTCTCTCTCTCTCTCTTTTTTTTTTTTTTTTTAAGAAAAACAACAGCAACAAAAAGACAATGAAAAAAACCCAGAAAACGTCATGTGAGTGAAGAGATGTCACTGTCTGTGGTCTTGGAGAACTAGTCTAGTAGCTGAGGGGAGGGGTCCCCCGATCTGGGGCACTGGCACCCACAGCAGGACTTCGCCAGTCTGATGCCAGGACTGAATAAAGTGTATTTGCCCCGACCTTGCCCTGTGGTTCTACATGTCTGTGCCTTTCCTCAACCCTCCCCCAGACAGTTGGCCAGATTGAAGTCCATGTGCAGGAAGAGCTGGGGGTCGCTGGGCAAGGCACCTGGCCCCTTTAGGCCTCTGTCTCCCTCTGTCTCAGGACTCCCTGGTCTTGATTAAGGGTGACACATTCATCCCCCACAGGGCCAGGCAGGTCATGTCCGTGAGAGAGTCTGGGTAGACACTCCGTGGGGACAGCTGCTCTCCTCCCGCCAGTTGTGACCTTGTGGGAAGGCAACCCACGGTGGCCTGGTTTTTCAAGAGGAGGTAGAAGTCTGGATGTTTCTGTGAACATCTCAACTACAAAATGAAAGCTGACTCCGTTATTTTTATTTATTTGTTTTTATTTGTTTCATTTTTTTGACGCAACTCTCTTTAAATCCTCGTGGACCAAATGAAACAAGTGTCGCAGGCATCCCTGGCCCAAGGGGGCCCGTTTGACCCTGCCCTTCATGAGAATTAAGAAGGGTCGGGCCACATCGTCTGGGCGCAAAAGCCCCAGCACCACCACCACTGAGCATCTGTGTGACCTTGAGCAAATTCACTTCACCCTGAGTCTTCTCTCAATATGAATAACATGAAGATGATAACAGTACCTTCTTCAGGGTGAAATGAAGTTCGAGGTGAGCAGCATTTAACAAGGTGCCCCCTGAAGTATATTACTCCATTGTCCAGAAGAGGAAACAGGGTCAGGGTGGTGCAGCAACCTGCAGGAGGGCCTGCAAGCGGCCAAGGTCAAAGTCAGGGCCCCGCATCTTGGTTCTCTGCCCTGGCGGAGTGTCGTGTCAGGGTGCTGCCTCTCCTTCCCTGTTTGAATCCACAGATGGCTTTAGGCTGTCAGCGCAGGGCCTGGGCTGGCGGGGTTGGTCCCAGAGCCGGCCAGTCATTGGCCTGCAGTGTAGATTTATTGAATGACTAAAAGAGGAAAGCCTTTTCAAACTCGGTCCCCCCCCCCCCCCCGTGCCTCCACTGCCAGGTCCAGTGGATTCCTGAGGTTGGACAGAGCTTGTGTCCCCTGTAAGAACGAAGGCCAAGTGTGCAGACCTCATCGAGAGAGGGTATTTGGGGACTGGGGTACACATAGACGCGTTAAAAGAGGACGATTGCAGGTTTGGGAGGGCTGGGTGTGTACGGAAGGGGGGTGTCTGTTTGGGGAGGTGCAAGAATTCCAGTGCTTTGGCTCAGCCTCTGATTGAAAGCAAGATGGGAAAAAAAAAAAATCCCTCCAGGAAGAGTTGAGAAGGTGAGGAAGATAGAGATGGGTGTCACCCTTGAACCCCTTTTAAGGAGCACTTCCCTGGCTGTGAGGAATCTGGTCAGTGGATGGGCTCCAGCTGCCAAGATCCACTAGCCCTAGGGCAGCCCGTGTCTGGTGGCCCAGGGGGATCAGGTAGAAACGTCTGGCCATTCCTGTCCAGTGTGGGGACAC